AGCAGGGAGCCCGATGCGGGGCTCGATCCCAGAACCCTGGGATCATGACCTGAGCCGAAGGCAGACGCTTAATGACTGAGCCACCCAGGCACCCCGAGATGACTGCAGTCTTAAGAGTAAAAGCCCACGTGAGATTGGGAAAAGCACCCAGCTGAGATCAGTCAAAATTGCTGATATGCAATTGAGCAAATACAATGGTGATGGTTTTAAGCCACTAAGTTTTTTTTAAGTATTTAATTTATTTATTTGTCAGAGAGACAGAACACAAGCAGGGGGAGTGGCAGGCAGAGGGAGAAGCAGGCTCCTGCTGAGCAAGGAGCCCGATGCAGGACTCAATCCCAGGACCCTGGGACCATGACCTTAGCTGAAGGCAGACGCTTAACCGACTGAGCCACCTACATGTCCCTTAAGCCACTAAGTTTTGAGGTGACTTATTGCAAAGCAGTAGATAACTGACATAGAAATACCTCACAGAATTACTGGAAAGCCTAGAAAACTAAGTTCAGAAAATGGACAGGAAAAAGGCCAGCCTAGTGATCAACCAAGATCACAGCCCGAACCACGCACAGAATTAGTTCAGGGAAGGTATTACCTCCTCGATGTCACGGCTTATACTGCTGCCAGAGGCACCATGACAGAGCAAATGCTCGCTGCTAGGGCGGACCCCGGAAACGGTGCGGCCGCGGTCACTGCTGTAGCGCTAGACCGGGTTCTCCCACTTCCCTACTTCTTATCGTTACTGGCTCCCAATTCAGCCTGTGGTATGACATGAGCCTTGAGTCCAGGCCACATGTGTGCGCCCTAGCTGGCAAGGAGGCCTGGCAAACAGAGTGCCAGGTATTTTTATCTTCCTATCAAGCCTTATATATATGGCAGGGAATTCCCTCTACCCAGTTAAGTTCACAGGCTGTGAAGCCATAAAAAGGACAAAGGGTCATGGTAATTCTTAGCTACTTCAATTCAAATTAATGGACTAAAATAGGAAGCAATACAGATCCCACAAAACCTGCATTAAAACAAAACAAAACACTTTAGCTGTGTCTGTTAGGTAAGCAAGCTCCTCACCGGGCATTAATTAAGGCATTTTGAAGTTAAACCATCTGCAATAGGCAACTAGGAAAGCGTTATTGAACTGGGGTAAAGTTTTCTTTTAATCATTTTCCAGAGAGATAACACATACCTAAAAGCAGGCATATGACATTTGCTTTTAAAATTCACCACCATCTGGCCTTTGAAATGTACTTAAATCCAAAGGGCACTTTGACTCAGAGACATACAAAAGCAAACGAGCTATGTTAAGTATCCTCAAAAATATTCTTTCACGTACGTATAATTCAAAATAGGGCAAATCTAGAAAAAACAATACCCTTGAATTATGATCAAGGATGCAAAATATTATGACCACAGGCATTAGTGAAGAAATCATTTTCAGATAAGTCACTGGCATATAACAGAGTACAAGACTGAAACTGTTCTGGATTCTAAGGCTTTACAGAAGAAACAACCTGAACCATCAACATGAGAAAAGGGACTAGCACATTCTCCATATGTCCTCTCCCTTCTTCTCCTTACCTGAAGCTATGCTGAAGTAATGTTTGATGGCAATGGTCCCTGACAGTGTGGAAAGGACAGACAGCATCCCGAGTTTCAGGCTGTCATAAGGAGTCTGGAGGGCACATTCACAGAGTGCCTGGAATACAGAAGAAAAGGGAACACAGAAGTTGAAATATCTTAAAACTGTCCACTTGTTTTAAATGTTCTGGCTTTTAGAAAAATTCTGTCTACGACAAAAAACTTCACTCAAACTGCCACAGCCAAGAGGAACATCAGGAGACACATTGGTGAAATTGAATGCAGTTTCCTAGATGGGACCCTGGAACCGAAAAAGGACCCTAAGCAAAATTAAAGCAACCAGAACAAAGAGTGAACTTTGGTTAATAATAATGATGTACCAACATTGGTTTATTAATTTTAACAAATGTGCTGCACTAATGCCAAAGACCAATGACAGGGGAAACTGGGTGTGGGGTGTGTGGCAACCCTCTGTACCATCTTTTCCATTTTTCTGTAAATCTACACCTGTTCTGAAAAATAAAGTCTATTTAAAAAAAAAAAAAAGGTCAGCATGACTGATTTTTTATTAGGCTCACTGGAAATTAAGTATTATTCAGTCCACACAAGCAGAACCTCCACTGTACTTCACTTCATGGAGAGATACGAGTATTAGTTCATATATCTATATTTTTAAAAAATAACAGAGCATGGCAGTCTATCTTGTATGTAAGTGAATGCACTGTCTATCCTCCTCCATTTCGGATCATCCACTCTACTCCTGACTAATGTGGTCTGAAGACCAGAAACAAGATGCTCGTGTTTCTTTCAGTAATGTCAACTATGGGTAAGTGCTCGTACTACAATGACTCTTGCCTTATCCTGCACCTCAACTCTTAGGACATATCATATAAGTGGTCAAATAACTGCCCCGCTAAATTAAACTAATTCCCATTCTCCCACAAAGACAAAGTTTCAGAAAATAGCAAAACTTAAAGACTAGGGAAAAAATCAAAAATAAAATTTCAGAAAGAGTTAAACAATAGATTTATTATGTCCCAGATAAGAATGTCAACACAATCTTGGGAGTGGAAAGGTTTACATAATCTGTTTCTAGAGATCATATGGAAAAATCAAAATCAAAATATATCCAGAAAAATTCTGATGAAGTATAATGAGGGACAAAACAAACTCCACTAAATATAAAATGTATAATAAACCTACAGAAGTCAAAGAAGTTTTTTCTACTCATGGACAAAGAAATCAATGAGAGCAAACTTGTTCCAGAAATGGATTCAAATACACAGAATTTAATATACGCTAATGGCATTTCAAATGAGAGGGACTTTTCAATAAACAGCTCAAGGACAACTGGCCAGCCATCTGGGTAAAATAAAACTAGACTTTTGTTTCTTTTTAATGGCAAATAAAAACTAAAACTGTAAGAAGTACTAATAAGGGCTAATATAGGAAAAGAAAAAGTAAAAAGGTATTTGACAAATCTGGGAAAAATGTTCATATCATGTAAGGTCAATAAAGGCCCAATCACCTTCGTACATAAAAAGTTCTTACTAGCAAATAGGCAAACAACACAACAGAAAAATGAGTTCACAGATAAAATTTATACAAATGCCTTTTAAAAATGAGATGCTAAACTTCACTCATAATTTGAAACATTTAAAATAAGAGATTTTTTTCACCAGACCGGACAAGAGTGAAGTTTAATAGGACACAGTACTGAAAGCTGTGTGGGCCAACAGTTGCTATCACACCACCGGCAGAAAGGTAAAATGGCGTAAACCTCATTAGCGGGTAATTGGCATTACATATAAAAACTTTAATTGTATGTATTATTGGACCCAAGAAATCCTCTTTTAGAAATGTATCATCATTGTGAGCAATGATGATTTTTTATTTTTTTTAACAAACTCGTCAATTAGCAGTGTAAACAGTGACAGTAAAAGTACTGGAAACAACTCTAATGTGCAGTACCACATAACTGGTGAAAGAATGAAAGCAGATGTAAGTATTAATGCCACATGTTTCCCAAGATGTACTATGAAGTGATAAAAGGTTCAGAACGTGCATAAACTGTATTTTCATTTTCATACAGAAAATAGAAAGGACATACACATGCTTGTATATGGATGACAAAATTCAGAAGAATACATAAGAAACTAGTAACACTGACCACCTCTGCAGGGGACAGCTGAGAGAAGAGATGACTTATAAGACAGACGTGTTTTCACTCATTATGCACCTTAAACTCTGAATTTTTTATCAGGTGCATGTGTACTTTTTCAACTGAAAGAAAACCCTAGCTAATAACAAAAACCGCAGCAGGAACAAATAATCATGGCAGGAATGGAAATGGCCTTGAAAGACAAAGTAGGTTTCTGGTAATGGAAGGGAAGACAGTGATGGAGACAAAGCAAACAAGAAGTGTGGCGGTTAGGCCAGATTATGGAGTATTTATCTGTGGCCTAACAGGAGATATGTCCAAAAGGGACGAAGGGCAAGACAGAGAAATGCTGAACAGGGAATATTAGGCCAGATTAAAGTTGGCCTTGAAGTTAGTCAGAATAATTTAAGTTTAATGGGAAAAGGAAAAAGGAAGCCACTGGAGAGGATTATGTTATCGAAAGCATTAGGGAAGATTATTCTGGCAATGATAAACAGGTGAGGGCCACAGAGCCAACCTATAGCCTAGGGCATTAATCCAGGCAGGTGGTGATGGACTATGGCCTGAACTACAGCTTGAAGGTCTGAATGGAGAGTAGAGGGTGAGTATGAGAGGCGTTTTGAAACTGATGACATATAAGGGAATCAACAAGAAGGATTCAATAATTATTACAAAATTTCAAACCTGATGACCAGAGAATGTTGACTCCATTTATGAAGACTGAGAATTTATGGAGATAAGCTAATCTCAGAGGAAGGACAGAAATAGGAAGAGATATGAAATCCAAGAAGAAATATCTACCAGGCATTTGGAACTGACATGTAACAGATTTTTAACTGGAAGACTTGCATCAGAATTCTGGCTCTACCACTTACCATCTCTGTGATCTGAGCCAATTACTGAAATCTCTGAGTCTCAACTTCTTTGTCTGTAAAATGGGGGTAAAGATTTATACAGAACTGTTTTCTTTCTTTTTTTTTAAGATTTATTTATTTGAGAGAGAGAGAATGTGTGTGAGTGGGGGGAAGGGGAGAGGGTAGAGAACCTTAAGCAGACTCCCCGCTGAGTGCAGAGCCTGACCCCGTTCAAGCGCATGACCCAGGAGATCATGACCTGAGCTGAAATCACAAGCTGGATGCTTAACTGACTAAGACACCCAGGCGCCCTGCAGAATTGTTGCTTTCATATAAAACATCTCTGGAAAAACATATAAGAAATCAGACACTGGTTGCCACTGGGCAAAGGAGTGAGTGGATGGCAGAAGAGTAAGTGGGAAATACTTTATGATATATATCCTTTTGCAGCTTTTGAATTCTGCACATGAACATACTGGCATAAAAAATAATTTTAAAATAAAATATAAGTGGGGGTAATGACATTTATTGTCTGTAATAATAAAAAGCTCCTGAGAGTCAAAGAGCTTTGCAAGCCCTACAAGCTACTACCCTGAAGAGCAGTTCAGGGGAGGAGCAAGATGGCAGAGGAGTAGGAGACCTGGATTTCGTCTGGTCCCAGGAATTCAGCTGGATAGGGATCAAACCATTCTGAACACCTACGAACTCAACAGGAGATCGAAGAAAAGAAGAGCAACAACTCTCTGAACAGAAAAGCGACCACTTTCTGGAAGGTAGGACGTGCGGAGAAGTGAATCCGAGGCTATATTCGGGAGGATAGACGGCGGGGGAGGAGGCCTCCGTCGGCCGCTTCTGGCAAGTGATAGAGCAGCGGAGCACAAAATCGGAACTTTTAGAAGTCGGCTCCGCTGAGGGACGTCACTCCAGTGGCTAAGTGGGGGGTGGAACCCTCATGGGACAGTGTGGTCTCAGGACCCTCGGGGTCACAGAAAGACCAGGGATGCCTGAGTGCGACAGAGCTCCCAGGTATCAGACCGGGGAAGCCGGCTGCAGAGACGGAGCCGAGGAGCGGGCTCTCAGCTCGGGGTTGCCGTAAACCATGATCCACAGCACAGTCGGGCCACTGCTCCTCCAGCAGGGACCCAACAAGCGGCAGATCCGGGGAGACTCCCCTTCCTCCTCCGGGAGGAGCAGTGGGAGCGCACTGAAGGGATCTGCTGGGTTTGGAGACTCCACACGGGGTCGGGTGCCAGAGATAGAAACGCTCGGTCACAGGCTGGGTGAGCACGGAGTGCAGCTGGAGACCGGGGAGACGGGAGTGACTGACTGCTTTTTTCTGGGGGCACACTGAGGAGTGGGGCCCTGAGTTCTCAGCTCCTCCAGGGCGGAGACTGGGAGGCCACCATTTTCACTCTCGGCCTCCAAAGCTGTACGGAAAGCTTGCAGGGAACAAAAGCTCCTGAGAGCAAACCAGAGCAGATTACTTAGCCTGGACCCGGCAAGGGTGGGGAAATTCCGCCTCTGGCAAAGACATTTGGGAACTGCGGCAACAGGCCCCTCCCCCAGAAGATCAGTGAGAACAGCCAGCCAAGACCAAGTTTACCGATCAGTGAGAACGGCAGAACTCCAGCGC